TTATTAAATGCTTTTCGTGAGCTCAGAAATACATTCCACAGACTACCGGCCAGGAAGAGCATGTTCCTTTCCAGATAAGCCTCCAACTTCGAAACAAACACATAACATGAGAACTCGTAGTCACAAAAATACGTGGAAAATATTGCAAACACTCGAAGTGCACTATATTTGACTTCTGTGTATCAAATTTCTTCTTAGGTTATTTAGTAAATATTTATAATATTTAGTTTAAATCCAAGGATTACAATAAAAAGTACATCGAAAGAAAATTCTTTAGTTTTTTCCTCCTAAATTCAGATCAGATGACAGTTTATTATCCTAAGTTGTAATTTTTATTATTTACCCTGAAATAGTGCCTCTAAAGTATATCAGTATTTTGGACCAAGTTTTATTTACTCTGAAAAATCTTTTATATCCTTTGGATCAGATTTATTTATTCATCTGTAATTTAGAAATCATATTAGTCAGAACTCTTTTAGATGCAAATGACAGAAGCCCAACTCAACTAAAAAGGTAAAAGGGAAATTGAACGAAACCAGGATATGTTAAAACCAGAGGAAAATCTATACTCAGCTGAGGTAAATGGCAGCTGAAACTTGGGAACAAATAGAATCAGAAATTAAGGACTTGTGAATGCTTTCTGTGGCTCTCCACTGCATGTTGGCTTCATTCTTTTGTGACAGACTGGCTTCCTCTAGGGCAGGAAATACAGCTGCCACACGCTCCAAAGCCTCACATCCACAGGTTCTGCTACTGGGGACAGATCCTGTGGGTCAGTCAGGTCACTCTAAAAACAGCCAGAGCGAGAGCAGCAAACACTTTGCCAGGCATGATACTAAATGTTTTGCTTGTATTAACCCGTTTAATAATTTTATGAACCCTCTGCAGTGGATATTATTATTATGCACATTTTATAGATGAGAAAACTGAGGAATGGAGAAGTTAGGACACTTAACTAAAGTCCCAGAGCTTGAAAGTGGCAGAGCTGGGGGGTTTGAACCCAGGCAGTCTGGTACCTTGCAGAACTGCCAAGTAGCCATTATGTCATATTCATTGAAATCAGTCACACTGAGGGGATGGAGAGGTTTTTTGGTTTGGTTTTATTTTTGACTGAAGAGTTAAACTATGCAAGACAGCAGGGATATGGTTTTAATTTTTTTGTTTTTTCCTATAAAAAGATATGACAACTGATAATATTATAATGAACTGTTTTCAGACCTTCGAAAAATTCCATGAGTTTTTGTTCGGAGACACACATGATGTGGGTTGCCTGCACAGCATCTTTCCTGTGTGCTGTAGGGTTTGCCCCCTAGGAGACATTTGCCACCATCCAGAATCATTTCTGGTTGTCACAACTTGTGTGGTGGGTACTACGGCATCTAGTGTGTAGAGGCCCAGGATGCTGCTGAAGGTCTTAACAGTGTGAGACGGACCCCTCTCAACAAAAGAATTACCCAGCCCCAAATGTTAATAGAGCTGAGGTTGAGAAACCTGTACTAGATAAACTTTGCCATTTTCTAGCTAGGAGTCACTGTTTGGGATGAAGAGATTAAAAAATTCCGAATCTTTGAGTACTTGTGAAGAGTGAATATGTCAGGACCAAGTATGATGCAGGGTGAGGGGTGTTAGGGTCACATTAGGCTGGGGTGCCTCGAAAGAAGGACTAAATAATGGAAGGAATTTGCAGAAGTAGATGTAGAAAAATGGAGCAGACAAACTTTGATAGTTTCAGTATTTTCCCTGAGGATCAACTGTGTGCGTACAAGTACAAAGGTAAGGAAACTTAAATCTGTCCCTTCTCCCTCTCTCCTGTACCTGATGAAGGTCTCATAGGACTAATTTTAGGACAGCATTTTAGCAATATTCTTGACAAAAATGAGCTAAAAATAGGTTTTGTGATTTACTCTGATTTATAACATTGAAATTCATTGACAGATTGAAGACTGTGGTTTGTGTTAAAAGAAGTAGAGCCATTATTATTTTTTTAAAGTTATTTTGTGATTTTGGGGTTATAACAACAGGCAGCCTGTTTATTGAATGCTTTCTGTGTGCCATACACTGTGCTAATAGTAAGTCAGTGTTTAATCTCATTGAACTCTCATAATAACCCTTTATTTAAGATGGTTACAATGAAATGTGTGTTTTACTGAGGAAGAAAATGAGTCCCAGAGAGGTTGACTACCATCCTCAAGGACAAACAGCTATTTAGCTAGAGTTGGAATTTTGGTTTGATTCCATAGTCTAAACTCTTTTAACACCAAATGGTGTGCTGCCTTTTCCTCTTAAAGACAATTACAGTCCTCTGTCATACTGATTTTCCATCTGTGGTTGAAGTTTTGATACCACTAGGTAATTCTTTGTATATTGCTCTTGCTTCTTGTTAGTGAGAGAATTTATATATGTTTGGAAACAGATACTCCGTATATATTTGAAAGCTTTTGAAAATTGAAGCTGTGAAATATTTTTTTCCAAATGTTCCTAAAATAATTTATTGAATAGATTTAGTAACAATTTAAGGTAATTATTTGGATGTGATGATTTTGGAAAAATGGTTATATTTTCCTTATATATAAAAGTTTGGTATTATTAAACTTTACAGTGTAAAAGATAATTAAGATGAAATATTTCCCTTTTAGTTTTAATCTCACGTAGTCCATCTGTGTCATACATTGGACAGAATCTTTCCTGTGAATTCTGTGTGATAGGGATTTTAATATCAAAAATAACATAGATCCCTACCTCTCCCATAGGGGGCATCATTTTAAAAGAGGGGATCCTTCGTATTAAATTTATTAACCATATTTGTGAATAAATTAGATTGCTTTTAACATTTCTAAGAAGTATGTATCAGTGCATCAGATTTTGATCTCTAAAGCAAATAACTGTTATACATATACTGTTATTTCCTCTTTGCGAAGCTTAAAGTGAGGAACATATGCCATTGTCCAGAGAGTAGGTGGAGGAAGGGGGCACAGCACAGCTGGCCAGAGTGCTCTTTTCAGATTTCTTGTAATAGGGGTGAGCAATAAGGTGTTCTTTTTCATTGATAAAAATATTGTTACTTTTGTATTTTGTTTCATTTACATTTACCAGTAATTCCATATTTGGAGAAAAAGTATGGAGATTGGGAGAGGGGAGGGTATGGGATGCCTGTGACACCATAGTCTGCCTTTCCTATAGTTACTGCAACTACAAGGTTTGAATCTGGTTTCCTGGATGTTCCTGACCCCCTCCTTCCACCTTCATCCTCACTGAGTCATGGCAAATTCTTGAGCAAGATTTATACCATCGCATTATTTTTCCTCTGCAAATTTATGAAGTTGTAATAATTGCTGGCTCCCTTTGTGTTTGTTTGCTGTGTTAACTTCTAAGTTATATACTTTGTATATAGTTGATATTGTTGAATAATCAATCTGTGGGTTAAATAACAAAAAGTTTGATTATTCTTAGGAGTATAGAAAATGTAAGAAATACTGGTTTATGTGTGGTAAAATTTAAAAAATGGGTCATTAATTGATATCTCCCTTCAGTCTTTAAGTGTGGTTTGAGTACTGTTTTCCATGTATTCCCAATAGGATTTGATTCTGCAAGAAGGACAATATCCCTATTATTTAAGAATAATGGTCTCAATATTTATTTAGTTGAGAAATCTATTTTTGATGTTAATTTCAGTTGAGAATATATGCCTCAAACATTTTAAAGGAGTAACACTAGCATAGATATTAATCAAATGTAAATATTGCAAGTTATATGTAAAAATCTAATCTTTTTGCCAGTTTTGCCTTATGTAACTTTTTTGATATGTGGAAAAGAGGGAAAAGAGCTATAAACTCAGAGCCAAATGTGCTTTTGTTGTTCCAAATTTTCAACGCCAGAAGCATATAAAACCTGCACCTGTTGGTAATTATGAGCAAGCCAGCCTTTGCCGAATCCCAGGCCTCTGCTTAAAAACTTTTTTACTGGAACTAAATGATGTTGCCATTTTTATTTTTAGGTTTGCTGGCATGGGTAATCTCATTAAGGTGCTAACCAGGGACATAGACCACAATGCAGCACATTTTTTCTTGGACTTTGAAAGTAAGTCTCTTAGCCCTTCACGGCTGGTGCATAATGGTAAAGGTGAAAGATTAATTATACTCACACCACAGTGAAGGCCAGCCAGACTATCTGTTAATAAAGTATGGGGATCAAACAAAGTTTGCATGACTTCTTTCTTAATCGTAGGCAAGCATCATCATCATATGTATGATTTAGTTTTTCATTTGCTGAAATCATGTTGCGTCTGTAGCCAGTGCTGTCCTTTCATTAGTCCATGAAGCAGGTAGCCTTATGATGGACATTCTAATAGTATGCCCTAGTGACTATGCCCCACAATCTGTTTGCTTATAATCTTACGATAATTTTTATGACAAATCAGAGTTGTGCTGCATATCCAGAATCAGTACTTTAAGTAACCTCCACAAATTATTGAGAATCCAAATTTGCTTAGAAATACATGCTTTATTTAACGGCATACAGGAAGTAGTTTAATATTCTGCTATTTTAAGGTGAAATGCAAAGGTGAGCTGTGGCCAAAACTCTTAATATTTGGCTTTGAAATAAATTGTTGTTTCAGTGCAATATTAAACAAGATTACATGTGAATAATTCTTGGTCAGAAATTTCTTTTTCAGAATACTAGCACTATTGGAATACTTAAAGAATTTTTCATTATAAGGCCATTAATGAAACTTGGGAGAATTTTAAGAAGAATTAGAGCAACAGTTGTGCCATTGTGTACAGGAAAACTACATTTCACCTCTAGGTCCTACATATCAGCACCTTGAGAACCCGGTTTGCTGTCTGCCAGAGCACAGTCTGGGTAACCTGAAGGACGAATTCATGGCCTAATGAACATTTTCCCTGTTACTGTTTTTTGTTTTTTTTGGTTTTTTAAAGTAAATTTCAGATGTTCTTTTTTATAAAGGGATATTTTCTCTTTTCTCATTCTTGTCTTGACAGGTACCTTAACATGGGGAATCTTCTTAAAGTTTTGACATGCACAGACCTTGAGCAGGGGCCAAATTTTTTCCTTGATTTTGAAAGTGAGAAGATGATTTTATATCTATTTTTCTTTGCCTGCAGTAGACTGCGTTTGTCTTGCACTAAATGAATGTTTCCACTTTGCCATCTTTTTAACTTTTGCTTTGCATGACTGAGCTATGAATTGTTTGAGTAAAATTTCTGGTGCCTTCTAGAACTGGAAGTCATATTTTATAGATTAAATTGTGATAAAATTGTTTTTGAACTTTTGTAAGAGACTCATATCTCTTAGTTGGACATTATTTAATAATTTGAGATCTCTAATGAAAATATTTGAGATTCTCTGAAAACATTTTTATGAAAAATTTTGGTGGAAAGGACAAATGCTACTTCAAGCTTTGTTAACTAGAAGCAATATTTGGGGAAAATTTTATTGCAGTTGAGAAAAATTAACTTGGTTTCAGTTACTCTGTGTACCTATTGAAATACTTTGAATACAAAATCTGTTCATGAAGGCCATTCAGAGCTCAGTAATTTGGGCATAATATTAAAAGGTAAGTGTGAACCTTAATTATTTCATCTTTGCAGATAATTAATTTGAAAAGTTAAATTCATTATATGTATTTATTTCAGGAATTCATTTTTTTTCTAACTCTAAAAAGAAAAATAATGGGTTCACAGACCTTTAAGTAATTTGCCTTCTGTTTGTTTTATGTTGCATGACCTATTATAATATGGTCTAAGAGTGGCAGGTAAGTGTCATTGACCCCTGTGCATGTTAAAAAGCTTTTGCTTTTTTGGCTGTCAGTGTTGCTTTAGCTTGTCTGGTTGTCAAATTGGGAACAATGATATTAAATTGGTGTTTTAGTGTGAATCTTGCTATTTTAACTCATCATTAGAAAATTGTTAGGAAAGGGTGAAGAGAGAGCTTTTAGGTTATAAAATCATGTGACCCGCTCCCCCCGCCCCGCATTTTCATCTGAGATTAAAACATTTGAACAGATTTTTAAATACTTAAAATTTAAGACCTTTTCTGATTTTTAAAACAAATAAATCTCTTAAATCCACAGAGAGACATTACATTTTTCCATCAACTTCAGTTTAGTTTATGTGATATTATACAATTCATTCTATTATGAATAATTTATATATTTTTTCTTTAAACCAGGACAGTTCATATGAGCACATTAATTTATAGCTTATCTCCATTTGATGGGATAATTTTTGGTCTCTGATATTTTTCTACTTTTATTACATTCCTATTAATGTTCCGTTACAGTTTGGGTACTGTGTACAGGCCAGCAAAGAGTAGTAATGTCAATATCAGGACCATATTGTTTGGTTTTTAGGGGACAATGTTACTGAATAGTAGTTTTCTTGACCCTTCTCAACAATTTAACAGTGCTGTTTTAAATGCATGTTTAGCATGAATTTTAATCAGCTTGGAGATGTTGAGCAGATTGCTGACTTGAAGATGATTCTTTCAGATGAGGCAACTTACATTAGAGCTGTATTTTAGTTTATTTGCATCTGTTTCAAACTTGCTGTTGTATATTTTCCTGCTATCCTGTCTCCTTTTTACTCTTTGTCCCAAGTTCCTTACGTTTGCAGAATCTTGGCTTTGATATAGTCAAGATCTTGTTCAAGACTTGGCACTTGATCTTTTTATAAACCTAGCATTATGTTGTGGTCAAGTGAAAAGCATGAATTTACTGTAGTTTAAAAAATATTATTGGGTCTTGGTTTTCTAATCTTTGGGAGTTTAGATCATTATCCTTAAAATTTAAATAGCTAATTTAGTAGCAGGAAAAGGTAAAAAATTGCTAACAAGAACAATAATAACCAACAATGAAGAACTATATATAAAGTGTTAACGTCTTAAAGGCAGATGTAAATTAAATATTTGTTGCTTATATCAGCCAATGTAGAACTTTTGGTTTGACACTTACTGGTATACTGTAAATGAAATTTAGTGAAAACAAACTGCAGACTAGGCCAGAGTTTGTCCCTTGTTAATTCTTAGTTACATTTTTAAATGTTTTCTTTTGAATCTAACATCAGAGTTCTCTTAATCAATTTTATCTGTCATCCATTTGAATATTTGTCATCTTTTTGGAAATATGCACTTGTAAAAGTGTATTTTATCATTAGGCTACTATAGTGACCCCTTGAAACTTCCTTTCTTTAACCTGTTTTATACCGGATTCAAAATTGCCAGCACAGTTGATTTGCCAGTTCATTATGATTACTAAGGATAAAGTCATATTCTTTTATTAAATAGAGTATTAGTACTACATTATTTCTAGATGAACAGTAATATTTAGGTTACCAGAATAATTTAGCTTTACTATTTCCATCATTCTAATTGGTTAAATCTAGCTCAGTGCATGTCCATGGTTCCATACAGACAGATGTACTGGCGTTTTGCATCAAGCTGTATAAAAATTAACTATTCTGGTAATTTTAAAGTATGATTTAATGGAATCCTGTAGTTTACCAAATGAAGACGGTCTTTAATCATTATCCCTTAATTTCCCTGCTTGCACACACACATACTGTTTTTCACTTCAGTTCAGCCTGCCTCCTGTATGCCAGCCAGTAGGTACTGGGGATGCAAAGATAACTAAGATACAACCCTTGCCTTTGGGGAGTTCTCAATTCAGTAGAATAGAGAGAAATACAAATCATTAGAATAGATAGAAATGCAAACTAATTATTTACATAATTTACATCATTCAAGGTGTAGTTCAGGAAGGGGATTAACTTTATCTAGCTGTGAGTAGATTGGGCATGGAAGACTTTCTGATGGTGATATTTGAGTTGGGTTGTGAAGGGTGAATTAGAATGTTTCAGGCTGATTTAGTGCAGTATGTTGTAGAAAGAAGGAACAACATGTAAAAAAGCCTTAAGGCGTGAAATGACATTCTGTGTTCAGTGAAACATATCATTATCTACTCGATGTCCTAGAAAGAGGGTCTTTTTCTGAAAACAGATTATACCTATGTGATTTTAAGGATAGTGGTTTAATTAATAATAATATGTAAGTCCAGAATTGCCCCATACAGTTTGGCAGCAGTTATGCTAATGACAACATATTAAAAGCACTGAATTGGGGCCTGTACAACCTCTTCTAGTTCTTGAAATTTCTTACTTTATAATGACATTGTTAATTTATAGGTCATTCTAATGACAGATCTTTAGCCTGAGTAACTACTATATCTATTAGTTCACTAGATTGTTTCTTGGGAGAAGAGGGACTTTTATATTTATGTCCCCTCCCAACCTTAGCATAGTCCTCTGTAATCATAGAAGTTCAGTATTCATTAGTTAACCTTGATTTAGTTATCTCCAGGTAGGCCAAAATAGGAGAGTAAATATAGGTGGTCATTTGTAAGTGAGAAATGAATCTTACTTCCTTTGATTCTTTGTTATAGTGCCTTTCCACTTAGTCATACATTTCTTCTAATTCTTGTGTCTTTTGTGTTGCCTGTTCCCCTTACCCCCCATTTACAAAAAATATTGATAATACCCACCCTTTTAGTCTAACTTTGTTTTTCCATTTTATTTTTGTGTATTTTCAATTGCTTTTTCCCCATACTTGGAAATTTCTGGTGGCATTTTCTTATGTTTATTTTTCTAAAATGATGTAGGATTATATTTATTTAGAGTTAAAAATGCATAGTAGCCTTCTTTAACACATGCTGGAGGCATATTTATATCTCTGTACCTTCTCATTCATTCAATAAATATTTATTATGGAAAATCTACTAGGTACTGAGTTTATATACTATACAGTGGTATGTGCTCTACATTGAGGTCCCTGCCTCAATGAGACTTGTGGTGATTGATATACTGTAAATATTTAATGAATGAATGCAAGATTAAAGCAGACAGACCCCTTATCACAATTACAATTTCTACGTGTCTTTTAATTTTTTTCCTTTCATAGCTGATCCTTTGCCTCCTTTTGTATCATAACAGCTTCAATTTTAGCAATTATTTTCAGTGACTCTTCTGTAGGAAACTGGTGTGAATTTATTAAAAAAATTAATTTTACCTTCAAATAGTACGAGCAACTGAAATATGCTGTAATTTCCCTTGAACAGCTTTTAAAACTAAGCTTGATGAGTAATCACTGTGGTTACTCTCAGTAGTATAGTAGATACATTTTGCAATCAATTGAATGGCCGTCTGTTAGCTGGCTAAGTGATGTGTTTTTCCTCAAGTAATAAAAGTTTTCATTTTTTGCTGTGAAAAATCAAAGTGACAAGTCTTGGTTGTATTATATGATACCATTTTTGGAAAAAAGTGTTTTATTTTATGGAGTCCTTTCCCCTCCCTAGTATTTCACCCTTTTGCATGACTTGCTATCAGTAAAGTAGTGCTTTACCTGTCTGCTATTTTCTGTTTGTCTTCATCTCTACAGCAGTCTTCAGCAGCTTTCAAAATTATAAATGTGACTTTCCTGTGACAGTCTAAAAAATGTTTAATTAGTGTGGTGCTGGGTACTTTTTCCACCCTTAGGGGAAACTGGAATCTTCTCCTTTATTTTTAAATTTCTTGGTATTTATTAAATCTTTAATAATTATTAACCACTTCCAAGGTCTATTTAAATCTATCTGATAATGTTTCTTTTGTATGTAATTCTCAGTGTCATATTTTTCTGTTAACAGCTAGTCACCACATCCAAAATACATAGTTTAGTATTTTCAAACTTCACAATTATCTTTTACTATATAATAGTTAAAATATTGTCCTTTGTCATGAATTCCCACTTCATGAATTCAAACTATGATATGTGTCTACTATTGATGTTATGTCCGTAGTTTCACAATTCCATATGAAAAGTATAAAACTGCTGTTTTTGCATGTGAAACTATTTTTCTCTACTGCATCTGGTGTAAGTATAAAAGTTATGAGGTGTACCTTTTTTTTTTTTAGTGTTTGTCTAACTGTGACTTTGGAGAACATGGTCTGGCTAAATGTGAAAAAATACTACTGCCAAATGACAAACTCTGATTTTTAAAAAATCATTTAGCTATAATATCAGTATTTGCTCCTAGTAATACCTTTATAGCTTCGGACACAGACAGGGTCTTTTTAATTTTTCAGTTGACTCCTTGTGTAATTATTTTGTCATAACATTTTCATGAAAAAAAAACATGATTTCTGAAAGTAAATTTGAAAAATAAGGGAACAGATATGAAAACACAAATTCTTGAGTTGGCTTTGCATGTGAATGTTACTTATTGTTGCTGTAGTAATGTCTTAAGTATGTTGAAATTGATACTGTACTTGTTGATTTAAAAAATATAAATGGTATATTTTTGACTAGTTGGCAGGTTTAATAAATGGAATTGAATTATGACTTGCCCCAAGCGCAAAATAAAGTTGCAGGTTTTAGGCATCTGGACTCCTAGTTTCACGTGTGAACAAAGTTTGTAAAATTTTTCTAAGGAAAGGAATAAATAGATCGTTGTGTACTTATGGGGAGGTGGAATATGTGCAGAAAATTCTAGGTACTAGTTTTATGTGATTGGTGAACAAGAGATTTGTCAGAAATGTTCTTAATTCATGTTATAAATTTGGTCTGCCTCCCCTACCTCCAGAGTAAGAGAAAATTTTAGCATGGAGGAATTCTGACATCAAAGTTGCTCTCTAAAACATTATGGTAATCATAATGTTTATTATCTTAAGTGCTTTATGCCTTATCTGCAGTATTGGATATAGTCTAGTTGGAAAGATTTATGAAAAACTCATTTTCGTCACAAAGCGGCCAATTCTCCCCTCCCCACCCAAAAAAAGAATCAAATGTATTGAATAAAAAAGATTTATCCTTAGAGAAACAAGTGACCAAGGTATTGAAAACGGGATTTTTGTCACCTCGAGTCTAACAGAGAGAAATCCAGAATTATTCATCTATTAGCCTAAGTTTTGTGGCTAACACCACAGGTAGTAGAAATGCCCATATGTTTGTGTTCCTGATTATGTTTTTTATAAGTATAATTCTCCATTTTTCCTCTCAGTCCCAAGTGTATAGGAACTCGGTTTTTGCTTTAGTATTTCAAAATTTCAGTGATACTGTTGTATCTTAAAGTATCTAGTTTTTAGTAGCCTAGTGATTCTGGAGCAGTTTCATAGTTCGAACTCCTCTGCACAGGAATCTGGACCTTTTGTTCATCAGCAGAGAAGTTCATTGGTACAGAATACAAAGGTCTTTAGAAAAAGGGAGCATCTAAAAACTTTTTTTTTTAGTTTCTAATTTTTTTATATCAAAGCTCAGTCATTAAAATGAACTTCATAGGAAAATAGTTTATGTCTTAAACCGTAGATGAGCAAGATGTATTAATAGGGCTTTCATTTCTGTTGCATTAAAATAGATCATTACTCATACATTTACAGTCATTACTGTTAGTGATGCATATAGTAGAAACAGTGATTATTGACACTCACAATTAAAATTTTTGAATTATAATCCTTGTTTGTTTAATGTACCACGTCATGATTTGTAACTTAAAATAAATAGTAATGTTTGGTGTTCCCTTGCTTCTTTGTGATATTTACAAACTTGAGGATAGTTATTCAAATGTAGAACTATGGAAAAATTGTCAGTCTTTTCTAAGAAGTGCAAAGTTAGCACTGGACAAAATGTTAGTCATCTTTAGAAAATCAGATTAATCAATGCTTAGAGTTATTATACATGTACTAAAAAAAAAAAATCATGTGACTCTAAATTTTCTTGTGCTTCCCTGCTATTTAGATGCCCAGCCTACAGAGTCTGAGAAGGAAATTTATAATCAGGTGAATGTAGTACTAAAAGATGCAGAAGGCATCTTGGAGGACTTGCAGTCATATAGAGGAGCTGGCCATGAAATACGAGAGGTAAAGCATGTTTATACATTTTCCAATAAACTAAAAATTACTATGTCCCTCTTTTTAATCTCTATTATTTTCTATACTTTATTGTCTGTTTGCATATTAAATATTCGGTTTAAAGGAAGATCACTTGCATTATTTCAAAAGTGGTTGCAGTGATACAAGGGTAAAAGGAAAACAAGGTTCTATAACTATGTAATTTATATATATTAAAGAAAAGTTTATTTTTTTGGTTTATTCTCACACCTGAAATTTACAGTATCCATGGTGGCTATTTATATTGTTTTTGGAGGGGAGAACATGAGACTTTCTGTGGCTTCTTTTTGTCCTGCTAGTCTGTTTTTCTGCTCCTCCTAAGCTTCCTAGGAGAAAGCTGAAGCCATCCTTGTGATCTGGACCCCCTCAACTCTGTCTGATGACTTGATACCACAGAGCAAATGTTTGGTGTGGTCTCCCTCAGCTTTCTTCTCCCAAACCTCTGAACTTATCCAGGTTTCCATCCATCTTTTTTTCTATTTCTTCGGTTTTTTTTGTTTTTGTTTTTTTTCAGAAGAAGCGGTCCCTACTTCTTACCAAGACTAACTTCTCTACCTTTGTTCTCCACCCTCCTCTGGAACTTTACTCTTTTAATTTCCTTCTCTTAATTACATTTTCTTTCTTTTTTCTTTTATTGACTCCTTCCCGGCACATGTACACATACACGCAAGTGTCCTATACTACCCAAAGAAACTCCCTGGCCTCTGGACCTTATCTCTCTTTTTCTCATTACATTTCTTGAAGGCATAGCTCACACTTTGTTGCTTCATTTTTTCCTGCCCTTCTGTTTCTGTTATTCTTCTCTGTAACTAATAGTGCAGAGGTTTTCAAGGATTGATCTCTTGGGTTTACAGACCATATCGAACCTGATTCCTCTGATGACATTTGGAGTACTAGTAAAGGAAGAAATAAGTGCACACACCTGAAGACACTGAGTCACTAAGTGTTTTGGACTGAGGGGCCACAGGTTTGGGTGATTGACTGGATGTTTAATGTAAAGGAGAAGGAGGAGTTAAAGGGTTCCATGGAGTCTAGTTTAGACTAGCAGTTGGTCCTTTCATTAGCAGGGAAGTTATAGATGATGTGAATTCCATGTTTTACCTCTCCTGCACTGGACTGCTTGTTTCCTGAATGTCTTACGTAGGTACAGTTACTTGCCTTTGTTTTTGTCTGGAATATGCCCTTCTTTTTTTCTTTTCCTTCCTTCAAATCTCAATAATCTTCTACTTCCCTGTACTCTTTTGCCATAGCACCTTGCACATGTTTTTTTATGGTAGCCATCACTTTTTTTTAAACCATTGATATATGATGTCTGTATCTCCACTGCTGTACTGCTAGCTTGAGGAGGGTAAACTTGGTTTCTTACTTATTTTTGTGTTATCAGCACCTAGTATAGTGCTTAGTAAGCAGTTAGTAACTGTTGAAGAAATAAATGCAAGAGCTTTAGATTAATCTTGCTAATATTATTAGCTTGAGTAAAACCTTAAGATTTCAGTAAATGAAGGCATGTAACCATTTCTGTGAATTTCAAGTTCCCTAAACATATAAAAGCTGAGTATATACCAAATACATAAAGAACAGATATAACTACCAAAACTGCCATAGGTCAATGTGAAGACTTAATTGACTTAGTAGAACAACCATTCTACCTATGAGAAAACACACAATAGAAAAATGTTCAGGTTTACAATAAATGCCCACCACTGTCAAGAAGTTTTACTGCACACAGTAATAAAGTATTAAAAGTTTAATATTGGTTGGTTTATGAAGAAACAGGTAGTCTTAATGCAAGTGGTATTGTAGAATGGTATCTTTTTGAGGTCGGTTTGGCAAGGTATAAAATTAGATCTGTAAAATTATTTATACTCTTCTATCAGATACTTAATTTTAGAAAATATTCTCCAAAAGGCTATCATTCAAGAGGGAGGGAAATGTAAAAACCTTTATGGCCACCTTATTCATCATAGAAAACATGTAGAAGCAATTCATAGAGTCGTTTTGAGGATAAAGTTAGATAATCCATCAGCAAAGACACATAGAAGCTGACACATAGAACATAGACTGAGAGTTTACTGTTATTACTATGCTAATGATGTGGATTATATATGTATTTGTTTAAATAGTACTTTATTAAACATGACTCTAAAATTGAATAAAATGTGATTTAAGATATAATCTATTAAATAAACAAAGCTTACTCTCTAGAATAAACCACTAGAGAGGGAAATAAGAACTTTACCTAATGTTTTGATGTATCCATAACAGTTTTAACATTTTTGAAAATGAAAGTTATAATATTTGCTCCATGACAACCTCACCATTGACATCTTACTTAAGTGCTCTTTTTCATGTTGGGCTATGATGGGTGCTGTACCAGAAATGTTATCTAACAGCAGTAAAACTGATCTGAGAGGAGAAAGAATCAGAATTATAAGGAGAACCATAAAATGTTTTCATAAAAGAGCAGACAGTGTCTTCAGTTCTAAATCCAGGCAAGGCAGGGCCAAGGAAATAGTTAACTCTATTCAGTTATGAAAATGGGTGACACTTGCTGGAGCACTTTAATATTATGAGAATGAGCTGATATTTAGAAAATCATTTTTAGATCCTTGCAAGAAAGGTTGGATAGACTTCTGAGGAGAAGAAAATAAATTTAAAAATTCTATCTATTTGCTTATTTCCCAAGTAATAAACAAATTTTTACTACTTGATATGAAACCATTGAGACTGGACTTGAGGCTAAAAGGATTTTTTCATATACATCAAGATAGTATCACAGTCCCTTTGAAATAGTCACATTAATACAATGTGAAATAAGGATTGTTACATGTTGTAATGTCTGGTTTTCTTTAACATTACAATATTTCTAGATAGTCATATAAGTGGGATTCATTTCAGACTCCTATTTGCTTATATAAAAAAAATCAAGAAAATTTGAATACAATGGCAGGCTTATAAAGCAAGTTGCTTAAACAATGTATAGCCCATTTATTTAGTTTGTAGCTAATTTATTTGAAGCATCTTCTAAATCTGTCTGGCTTCAGTTTTATTTTGCTGTCTTATTTTTTGGTTTTGTATGGATGGAGTCAGAGTAGAGTACTAGTGTCTTGGGAAAATCTAAGTGTGCCATTTAGATTGCAGATATGTTACAAACAGGCGTTGGTTATGCGTTTCACCTTTCAGATGGTGTGTTTAGCTCATTTGAAGATGTTAGAGAAAGCAAACCAAGGTGTGGAAAAACGGTGAAGAAAGGCATCTGTAAGCAAAAGGAAGATGAAAGCAAGAAAATATATTTCTTTGGGAATAACCCTCTATATTTACAAATGATTGCCTGATGGCTTAGAAGGCTGGGCAGAGAAAGAGCATATTCATGTTTATTTTAGAGTCTCTAGATTATGTTTTATTTTCTCCCCTTTCACATTTGAAACTAGTTTTTCACCTCACTCAGGAAAACCTAAAAAAAACTTAGATTCCAGAATAGAGTTTTAGTTACAGGGAGGGGATAAGTGACAATTTCTGAATCACATTTTTCAGGCTGATTTAGGTTTTCGAGTGTTTGGTAACTTTTTAAAAACTAGTTTGGACCCTGGAATTTGAATTATTGAAAGTTTATTAGCCTTTTCCCAGATTGGGTCTTATTTCATTATTGCCTGCCTTTTTTGGTTTCCTTTTATTCTACGAAAATAATCCTTAAAACAGAATTTCTAAGAAAGCTTGTCTGTGATATTGGAAACATTTTGGTTTCTTTTTGTGGCTCTAAAAAGTATCAAGGCGTAATATACCTAACAAACATATATTGTGTCATTTTTTATTCCATCTCTCCATATCCATTGCAAGAATAACGAAGAATGTATTATAATAGGTTTAAAGTATCCATGGAGTTGAGAAGGCCACTCTCAGCATTTCTGGGTCCATTATTCTGAATTTCATGGACTATACCAGGGTTTCCTGTGTTTGCCAAAACCTATATTTTAATGTAAAAATAATACTGTTGTGATTTTTTAAAAATCTAACTATTTTTATTCTTTGGATTTTGAAGGCCATCCAGCATCCAGCAGATGAGAAGTTGCAAGAGAAGGCATGGGGTGCAGTTGTTCCACTAGTAGGCAAATTAAAGAAATTTTATGAGTTTTCTCAGAGGTTAGGTAAGTTGAAAGTTTTGTCATTATGACTTGCCTAGTGAGAAAGACAGTTACTGATACTGGAAGTTATTTACAGTATTTTGTGTTCATACTGCTAAATTTATATGTTTCATAAGTAAAGCAGCTTGGTAGACTATGAGATTATAGCATAATCTTCCTATCATCCTGTTCAACCAGGTATTCAATTTATTTAGACCATTTTTCTCAACAAATTTTGACTTCCGTAAGGAAATTTCTGATTTTTTGCAGCTTAAAGGGTCCTACTGTGGGAAACAGCTTGGTAGAATTTCTCTCCAGCTCCATAGCACATCCTTTCCCATATGTGGGAACTAATCCGAGGTCTCCTGGGTTATTTAGATTTTTGTGCTCTTAAGATCATGGCTGGTTATGATCAGTTCATGTACCTAAAGCTGTACGAGATGAGAAATAGGAAGCTAATGTTATATGCGAAGTTATCGAGGGCGTCATTAAGTAACAAGAATTCATGACCATCTGCTTCTGCCCTCACGTGGGAACAATTATTCAGAGATCAGAATTGTGCCTTTAATACAGTGAATAAGCAAAATTGGAGTTCTTTTTCTTGGAGAAGGAGGAGGTAGAACAGGTAAGATTTAGCTCTCTAGCTGCTTGTGTAATTTGAAAGATGTAAACTTTGTGAAGTTGGGAGCATAGGGGAGGAGTGGTATAGATGTGTCAGAAATTTGAAACATTTCAGTTTAAGTTTTTGATACATGTTTTTATATAGTTTTGCTTTTTGAATCATAAAAATGTGTTATATATTCTAAATGAGTACATACAATTTGATAAGGAAACCAGTACTGTAAGATAGAAGTCAACTGGCGGCTCATAAGCTAAATTTAGACCTGAGACACGGTTTGTTTGGCCCACATGGTTTTTAAAAATTCCTGATTAATTGCCAGGTTTTAAAATTGGTAATTATATGTGTTGTGTGTGTTTTAAGTCTTCGGTTGCTTTGGAAAAATCAATAGCTTAGCCAGCAGTTGAGCAATGGATCTGCCTCTCAATTGGCGAAGCTAAGTGGCAAACTGACTCTGTGTCCAGTAGTTAGGGCGTGTACTTTCTAGTTTGCAGTGGGTCTCTACTGCATCCTGGTTTTTTATATCTTGCTCTCTTTATGTCTTTATATTAGCTACTTGGCCATTTGTGTTTACAACTTCTGCTTCAAAGTTTAAGTTCTATTATTATTTTTTTTAATTTGAGCTTTTAATTTTTTAAATATTTATTTATTTATTTTTGGCTGCGTTGGGTTTTCGTTGCTGTGCAGGCTTTCTCTAGTTGTGGTGAGCCACAGCTACTCTTCATTTCGGTGCGTGGGCTTCTCATTGCGGTGGTTTCTCTTGTTGCGGAGCACGAGATCTAGGCATGCGGGCTTCAGTAGTTGCCGCGTGCAGGCTCGGTAGTTGTGGCTCATGGGCTCTAGAGCGAGGGCTCAGTAGTTGTGGCACACGGGCTTAATTGCTCTGCGGCATATGGGATCTTCCCGGACCAGGGCTCGAACCCGTGTCCCCTGCATTGGCAGGCGGATTCTTAACCACTGTGCCAGCAGGGAAGTCCTGTGAAGTTCTGTGTTTTTTTTTAAAAAGCGCATATTTTTTAAAAAGTAAGAGAATTGCTATTTTTCCTTAGATGCAGTATACACTGTTAAATGCAAAGACAAATAATAGTTGAGACAGAAGTGTTTGTGTAAATTGTCCTTTTTTTTTTTTGCGGGCCTCTCACTGTTGTGAGCCTCTCCCGTTGCGGAGCGCAGGCTCAGCGGCCATGGCTCACGGGCCCAGCCACTCCGCGGCATGTGGGATCTTCCCGGACTGGGGCGCGAACCTGTGTCCCCTGCATCGGCAGGAGGACTCTCAACCACTGCGCCACCAGTGAAGCCCTAAATTGGCCTTTTCTTACTAGAAATAAGAATTATAAATTATTTTCCTCGAGCATGACAGTCAGTTCTTTCAGTCAAGTATCTACGTAGTCTGTAGCTTTGTAACCTCAGAGAGCCTAGGTCTTTCCATTTTAGTTATCTTCACGACTTATTTAGGGTTTTGCTGTGCTGCTCGTTCCTAGACGCTTTCGAAGTTAAATGGCTTTAGATGCCGCTCAGGTCCTACTCAAGTTCATCTTGGTTTCTTAGCATTTGCCAGTAAAAAAAAAATAATAATAATTATAAAATAGGCCAAACCCATCAGGCTTACGTATTTTCTCATATTTTAACTACTGGAATTACATCAGGTTAGTGTTGTGTGTTTCGGCACAGGTGCTGGGTTCCGTTTCAGCAGAGGATATAGTAACACAGGTAATAGCAGAAAGCTATCAGTTTTTTATTCTGTCGTGTGGGAGCCTTGAACCTTCATTGTGTAGTCTAGGGCTTCTGTAAAGGTATGAACAAAGTACAAATTTAAGATCTGGTGGTTTACTCCTCATCTCTCGGCCAATAACCTGGTTTATAATATTTCCAGTTTCCTTGCTGACAGGGTACATGTCTTTGCTTGCACGTGATAGGAGCTCAATGTTGAATGAGTGAGCAAGTGATAGATAAATGAGTACGTACATCTGATATATCAAATATGTGTTGGATATTCAGGAGAAGCAATAATAATGGATTTTAGGCTTTCAAGGCATAATGGCCTGTGTTTGAATTCCTCTGTTTGCAGTTATTAGCTGTGTGGCCTTGGCTACATCATTTAAATTCTCTGAGCTTCAGTATCCTATCTGGACCTCCAGTCAGTTGAACCCTCTGCTTTAAGTCCACTTAACCTCTGTTGTCTCTTTTCTTCCTACCTCACTGTTGAGCCAGAGATGAGGATAAACACCACAAACAGCACACAGAATACCGCACAGCTGTGAAGACACACATGGTCCTTCAGAATTCCAAGAAGGTTGCTTGGTTCAAGCACTACAGATAAACCATGGGGTGTACTCCAGAAGAGGGACCCTGATCCCTTGCTGGTTTGCATATTTATAGAGGGACAGGGAAGGGACCACTTGACTAATTTGGAAGACACTGAGCTTTGCCAACATGGTTTAACCTTGCTGGCACGGGAAACATCCTGTACTTGCTTGTTTCAGTCTGAGGCCTTCCCAGTTGAGGCAGCTATCTGAGCGAAGGTTTTGTGGCCAGACAGTACATAAACTGCTTTGTGTCTCCTCAGTCTTCCTGTTCCAGGGGCTTATTGGGGCCACCTCCAGGGGTCATAGTGAGTGAGTCTATCCAACGTGTTGACTCCTTTTCACTGGGCTAAATTTATCAAAATTTGTTCAAAAAGTTCTGAATTGCCCACAATGGTGGTATTACCTCTTGGCTGTTTCAGATCCCCCGCACTCCATATCCTTTGGGTTCTCTTCTGGGGATTCAAAGACTGCTCTTTGATAGTGGATGGTTGGCAGTAGGTGCGAATATATGGCTCTTGTCTGTAAAGGAGCCTTCTCTTCCTAGTCATCCGTTGTTTCCCCTTCTGGATCTACTTTGTGGACTGATCTGTCATTATTTCTCCGTTCAGTCTCTTCCTTGCAGCCTTCTTACATAGCTTTGGCTTCTGCACTGGTTTACCAGCTAATGCTTTCCAGAATTTAGGGCTTAAGTAGTCCACTAATTTCCTCCTTGCTGTCTACCTTTTGTAAGAGTTATAACCACATCATTTTGTTTCAGGAGCTTCATCAGAGAGACCAATCCCTACATCATCTGTTCTTTGACCTCCCTTTCTTTCTAACTCAGCCAGAGACCGGAGCCACCTTCTGAGATCCTCTGTCTCTGATTCCCCTCTTGTCGCAGGGCACTGTAGTCTAGTAGGACTGTCTTGTATCAGCAGAGGGCCCCGGGCTGATCTAGCTGCTTCAAAGGCAAGTAAGCAGCCTTATCATTTTGAGTTTCTCTTTCATGGGAGATGTGCCACTGAGGACTGAGCCGTTCACGGACAGAAGTTCTCCCCGGTCATTGGCCATCTCAGGTCAGCCATGACCTGACTCACCCCTCAGTGTGGGGCTGAGGAGTGTCTCCCATTCCCCGGAGCGGTGAGCACTGTAGATGCTGGACTTTGCCCTGAGGCTGGATCAAATCCAGCAAATGAGAATTTCTTTTTTCTTTAACAGCTTGTAACAGTATTGGTGTTTTTTGTTTTTGTTTTTAAAATGGTTTTTCCTGTTCTCACATCTCTCAAACTTTGTTTTCCACTTACATTAATGCTGACACATGAGATGAGTAGTGGGAGAAGTAAGCCATTTTTCAGAAGAGCCAAAAGTTTTTTCCTTTTAATTGATCCTCACGTCCACTCTTGCACCTCTAGAAGCCATCCATACTCCCACAGTGTGTTCTCCACACTGCAGATGAAGTGGAGTTATTAAATGCTAATCTGATGATGTCACTACCCTGCTTAAATAGTTTCTCCAGGGACATTATGATGACATGGCCAGGGTGCTTATTAATATGGCACACAGATGGTCCTCGTGTTGTTTTAGTCTTAGGTTCCTCTCCTTCTTGCCTCTCCATTCCCCTGTACTGGTTGTTGTGCGTTTCTCTACTGTGTCACGCTCTTCTCAGTTCAGGATCTGGCTCCCTGCCCTATTGGCAAACCCCTGCTCATTCTTAGTGCACAGTCCAGTCTCAGCCCAGATGTCATGTATTCAGGGAGGTCTTTTCCTGAGTCTTGAACTAGGTAAGGTCCCGGTTTTATACCTTTCCACGGTGCCGTGCCCTTCTCCTTCTTAACACACATCCCAGCTGTAGTAAGTTGTCTCTCTTCTCTGTATCATTAGGCGCTGTGTGGGCCTAGGGCATGTCCATCTTCATCTTCCCCCAGTGCCTGGCACATGTTAGACCATCAGTACATTTTCTGACTTACATAAAGAAAAGGATAGTAGCTGACATTTGGAGTTACTGTGTGGATTACAAATAGTGTCTAGCTCAGTACCTGCCATATAATAGACACATAAGGAGTACTTACTGTTGGTACTGATCAGTAAATTAATCTTTTATAAGGTTGCAGAAGGCTAGTTAGAATGTCGCTTTTTGTGAGAAACAGCTTATTATGGTGGAAAAAATAGGGCTGTGAAATCAGAAACACCTGGCATTTATGAGCTATACCCTTGGGGGTCTAACCTCTGAAACTCAGTTTATCCATCTGTAATGCCGATGTCACAGTTGATGGTGAAAGTTAAATGACAGACTAGGTTAAATGCGTAAGTATGAATGTTGGTTCATAATTGGGTCTTCATAAACGGTAGAGTTGGTATTTTTTAAGTGAAAGGTTGATGATCTGACATAAATTTGTTATCACTAATAAATATTTATTAATCGAACATTTATTCCTAAACATCAGATGACCGTCTAACTCTGTAAGCTCTTGTTTTCTCTGAGCAGGATCTACCATTGTTTTCTGATTCTGTAACTGAAATAGTTTGATTTCTGTGATTTTTTTTTTGAAGTGCAGTCAGTATTTCCATTTTTAAATGGAATATAAAATAAACTGCTACGTCTGGCATTCCAAAAGTAGCAGTTGTTTCAAAGGAACGGTTTTATTTATATAATAAATTAGAATATTTATATTATGGTCCTGAGATACCAAGTTCTAAAACACTGAAGAGAGCTAATTATTAAACCAAATATTTGGTTTCCTTTAGTAACTGAAAGAAAGCAGTTTGTGTTTATAAATAAACAGTATATTCAAAGTATGTGAAGTTGGTAATTCATTCACACCCATGTACCGATTTGTCTCTGTGGCCACAGTGCCCTTGAAGAAGTTACTCAGCTGTAGTAACAGTTACCATTTCATAAAAATCAACACAGTAGAATGTGAAAATAATATAAAATTTGTCCTTTGATCCTGGTATCTCATTCACATTCCACATGATTTTGAATTTGTGTTTACAGAAATTGAGTTAGTCACTTCAGGGTTTCTATTCTAGTAAACAGTATTCAGTTTGAGTGTTACATTTAGAATCTGGCTTTTAAAGAGACCTTACTTTTATGGGAATTGAAGTCAAAACATTTAAAAATCGCTCACGTTTTAATAAACAAATATCAGGTACAAACAACATTTTAATCTTTTTTTCTTTAGAAGCAGCATTAAGAGGTCTTCTGGGAGCCTTGACAAGTACCCCGTATTCTCCTACCCAGCATCTAGAGCGAGAGCAGGCTCTTGCTAAACAGTTTGCAGAAATTCTTCATTTTACACTCCGGTTTGATGAACTCAAGGTAGGATTGTTCTGCTGGTTCTCATTGTTACGGAAATCAAGAGTCTTTCAAAGAGCACTAGGAGGAGATGCCTGGAGACCTTTTCAAAATGTGTTTAAATGCCTGCTGGTCCTTAGCAAAAATGCCGGATTTAACACTTACGCAGGCCTTTTGGTATATACATAGCAAACAGCAAATTACCCAATATTCAGTTTTCATTTTTTAATTTATTTTACTTATTTATTTTTTGGCTGCACTGTGTCTTCATAGCTGCGCACAGGCTTTCTCTAGTTGCGGCGAGCAGGGGCTATTCATTGTGATGCGCGGGCTTCTCATTGCGGTGGCTTTTCTTGTTGTGGAGCACAGGCTCTAGGCGCGTGGGCTTCATTAGTTGTGGCTCGCGGGCTCACTAGTTACGACTCGCAGGCTCTAGAACACAGGCTCAGTAGTTGTGGCACACGGGCTTAGTTGCTCCGCAGCATGTGGGATCTTCCTGGACCAGGGATTGAACCCGTGTCCCCTGCATTGGCAGGCGGATTCTTAACCACTGGACCACCAGGGAAGTCCATCAGTTTTCATTTAACTTCATTTTAAAAATCATGTCTGAAACAACAATACTGGCTTTTTCTAATATATTTTTTCTGCTCATCCCCACTTTTTTCAACATTCTTCTATATAAAAATGTTAAGATACTTTTTCTTTCTCTCACCCATCTCCCTCCCTCTCTCTTTCTCACCACCCTCCTTCCGTCTACCTACCTACCTACCTATAAATGTCCTTTTTGCTGGAAGGAGTGAGAGTGTAAAGAAAGAAGCACTAAATTCCATATCAGGAGACCTTAGTTCCACTTTAGGCTCTGGCACGGTAACCAGTTATGAAGCAGGTCCTTTGACTTTTCAGCACCTCAGGTATCTTGTCTAGAAAGTGGAAGAGCTGGATTCCTAACTGCAGCTTTTTATCAACACTGTATCATAGACAATTATTCTCTTTTATTAATACTTTGAGCACAAATGATTCGTATATAAAGTTTTAGTCTGTTTGAAGATTGCCCTGTTGACCCTATATATACTTTATTGTAATAACCCAAAATAAGTGCCTACACATTCCTTTTTGTTTCTGTTTATTTGGTAATATCATTTTTGGTAAACAGACTTTTAGTATATTACCTGAAATTAATGAAAAGAAAGAAAGAAAGTATACTGACTGACTGAAAAACAGTGTGCATGTTCTCCTGTGTTCAGTAGTGACTGAACACGGTGTTATGTAACTTAAGTGCAGTAGTCATATTGGATGATATTACAAATTAGGGAATGTTACTTAACTAATTATGACTAGTATATCTTTCGCTTAATTTGTGTACCATATTTAGTAAATAATACCTTTTTCTTTCATAAATATCTTCTTTAGATGACAAATCCTGCCATACAGAATGATTTCAGCTATTACAGAAGGACACTGAGTCGTATGAGGATTAATAATGTTCCAGTAAGTTAATGCTTTGAATTACAGGGTGGTAATAATAATTCAGTTCTCAGTTTGTTCAGTTTAATCTTTTGCTCATGCATTCATTCATTCAGGTAAAGCTAAAGCTAGTAGTAAAGTTAGTAATTATGGGCATCCACAGCTGTGGGAAGAAAGAGCAAAATGTAGCAGACCATATTGTTTTTACCTATTTTTCCACCCAGGCCCTGATTCCATAAGTAATCCAGTAAAATTGCTTTTTGCCTATATAATGTTGATACTTAAAAATTTCTCTTTGTATTCTCATTTTAACTGCACAAAAATTGTGTGAATTAGTGGTTATGAGTTATTTGTCCCCATATTCTTAGAATGGAAGAGTCCTGGGGAGAAACTGACCAGGGACAGGAGAAATACTAACACTGGCAGGATGGGAAAGTGAGGTCCTGGACGTCGAGCATGTCCGTGTCTGACATGGCTGTGTGAGAAATGGCTTCTGTGCCTGTTGCTTGGCTAGCATAGCTTCTCTTCTGGTTTGTTAGCATCTTGACTTCTCCTCATTTTAAGCTGTTTAGTACCCTTTTCTCCAGCATGTCAAATGCCATAAGTAAAACCTTAAATATGAAGAAAATACTATCTTTTTCTCTAGATATTTTGAGGACCTATCAATATATTGTGCTAATTGGTATGAAAAATAGAAAATTCCTAGGGTCAGGCCTGGCCTCAAGTAGATAGTTTAATAAAGAAATACTATATAAGATTGTAAGGAGTGATAAGTGGCATAAGAGGTTAAAAGAAAAAACAACCAAAGGAGACCATTGAATAAATATTTTATGAAGTAGCTGCTCTAAGACAGGCCTGGATTGGAAGAAAGATTTCTTTTCCATGAAGCCTCTGGTATATGCATTAGTTTGGTTTCTTCTGTGAGGCTGACCTTATCATCTGTCTTTTTCATACTCACCATGTAAAATAAAATAAAATAAAATCACCCAATCCTCTATTATAGCCATCCTGCCATGCATCAAGGGCAAAGGCATTGAAATCATCGTTGTACTGTCTTTTGCTCTCAGTAATTATAGGTAAATCCAGTCGTTGTCAAGTGACATCTCTCTCACATCTCTTCACTGCCCCCCTTTCCATCTCTTTGTACTTCTATCCCAGTTGAGAGCCTAATACCCACTTTCTTTTTGGCAACCATTCTATAATAGCTGTAGAGCGTATTTTCTGACATACAGTCTCTTTTTGGTACAATCTGCCCACTATCATTAGTTAAATTTATTTAGAAGATTGACTGAATTGTTATTCCTTTCTTTTGACACTGTAAGTGGCTCCCCATTACATATAGAAGAAAAATATGACCTTAAGCTAGGATTTCACTTAAGCTAGGATTTAGTCCTACCCCAGCTTTGCTTTCCAGCCCTTCTTTCAGTAGTTGCTGTCCCTTATTACACTGACTACATTGACTTACACTCTACCAAGCATTTGAAAGCATGCTCTTCCGCCTGACTGGTTGGAATACCTTGTGTGCCTGTCCGTCATCACCTACAAAAAAACTCTTCCATGAGTCCAGTTTAGTTTCTTCCAGTCTAACTTAGTCTTCCCCCCACCCCCCCTTTCATCCCTTGTCTCTTAGCATGTTATTGTGGCTGCTGTGTGGGTACTTATGTGCTCCTAATAGAGGCAGGTACGATGTCCTAGGCATCGTTCCATCCTCCATAGCATTTAGGATGACCCCTTGTATACAGTAGGCAGCCCATCAAGGTTTTATTTAATTGCTTAATATCATTTAAAATATTTTTTAAAAAGTTAATCTTTTTTAAAATGGCTTAATATTATTTTTAATCTTTTTATTTTTAAAGAGTATTTAAGTATTGTGTGCATTTGAGGGTCTAAAATATAAGAGTATTTATTAGATTAATTTAACAAGCATTAGATGGGCACCCTGCCTAGGCTCTTTTATAATATTATTTAATAACTTATGAGCTGATATCAAGTGTCTTTATTTTCCACACAGGCAGAAGGAGAAAATGAAGTAAATAATGAATTGGCAAATCGAATGTCTTTGTTTTATGCTGAGGCAACCCCAATGCTGAAAACCTTAAGTGATGCCACAACAAAATTTGTATCAGAGGTAAGCATTGTTACTCTTCTGCCTGTCTGAAGATAGGATGATCTGAGCGAGACCATGACTTTAAAGACCATCTAAGCTGATAGACTGAGATGCAGTTTGTGCACGGGGTCTGGTCCTCTTCCCTGAGGCCCATGTGTGCACATCTACCGCCTGTTTGCAGTCGCCCTTTGGATGTATAAGCCACACCTCAGTAGTACCATGACCAAACCGAAGTCTTGATTGTTTTTCCCAATCCCGCCTTTTCTCCAGTTTTCCCTATCTCAACTAACAGTAACACTGTGCAAGCAGATAACTTAAGGATTATCATCCTGAATTGCTTCCTTTATCTCACCCCGAACATCCACTCCATCAGGCAAGGCAGTCTTATTGGCTCTTCTTACAAGATATACCCTGAATCTGAAAACTTAACCCTTTGCTACCTCTAGCTACCTCTCTAGATCAGCCCACCACTTCTCACTTGCATTTCTGCATTCCTGCTCTGACTGTTCTTACTTCTTCCACTCTTGACCCACTGCAGTCCTTTCTCCAAAGAGCAGCCAAGTAATCTTCTTAAGACATAAACCACATTCCCTTCCTCTGCTTAAAATGTTTCCAGTGACTTCCCAGTACTTGTAGCATCAACTCCAAGTACCTTGTGGCTATGAGGCCTTGTCTGCGTATTGTGGTTGTTTCCACTCAGCTCTAGAATGTAAGGGCTTCTTGGGAGAAAGGAGGCTTTTAGCTCTTTTGCTCATAGCTGTATCCTCAGAGCTTAGAACAGTACCTAGAATCTAGTGCATTTTTTAACAAAATTAAGAGTAGGGACCAAATTTTAAAGTTGCTAATTTTTCATGTTTTGCTAGATTTTAAATTTTTCTTGAGTAATAACTGTCACTCTTACTTTTTTTGTTCTCCATACACTTTTACAGAATAAAAATTTACCAATAGAAAATACCACAGATTGTCTAAGCACCATGGCTAGTGTGTGCAGAGTCATGCTTGAAACACCGTGAGTATTCACTGATCTTTTTCACTTGAACAGTCCTGTTGAAATGATTGTCCAGATGTGAATAAGTTGTATTTGGAAGGTGGAAATTAAGTATATCCCAAGTATGTAATGCTAACATATGAACAAAACTAAAATAATTTGACAGCTTAATGTAAGTTCTAGTTAAACATATAAAGTACATTTGATTTTCAGGTGTGTCAGACCAGTCAGACTCTTCAGAATAGGGATTTTTTGGTGCTTTTTTGGGAGTAGGGGAAGAGCTTAAAAGCGCATCTGGTTATGCCTCTCATAAACATTATCGTTCCCTTTTCATAGAGAACTTTGCCCTTTTTTCCTAGAGGGCTAGAGTTGTTCTACTTATCCCTTTCTCCCAATATTAGGTCTCAGTCTTCTTTTTTTTTTTTAAACCCAACACAGCTAAATTCTCTTCTAGGTTTCTCCTCTCTCTCAAGCCATTTGTAACATGTACCACAGTGTTTTCTGTCTGGCTTTTCCTGTCAGCAGGCAGAAAGAATTCCTCCTGTGTTCCTGAATAATATATGGTTTTCCTAGATAACTTTAGTTTTTGTGGAGCTTTTTATTTTCCAAAGCACTATTATATACTCATCTTATTGGAAAACTTTATGAAGTAAGAGGGCAGCTGCTAATCATCATATCATCATTCTCATCTAGGGCAGTAAGATCCTGGGGCATGAAGGGACTGATACACAGTAGCTGACCTCACACATGTGCTTGGATGTCTCCATTCTGGTTCTGGACTCTTTCTGCTATGCCATGCTGCCTTTTATGTAGACAAAAGTGCTATTTCCTTTTTCCCATTTGAGAGAAGAATATAATTGAATTTTAGGAAATTAAAATCCAGTAAACACAATAATGTGTTTATATCAGCTTAGCCCCTAAATAGCAAATGTACTTTCTCTGTTAAGCTAGTGGCTTTTTCACCATATTGCTGGTGACAGCCTTTCAGAGCACCCATCCCCAAACTTTTACTTCGGGCCACTTTTTAAAAAAAAAATAAATTATTTAAATTTTTATTTGTTTTTGGCTGCGTTGGGTCTTCGTTACTGCACACGGGCTTTTCTCTAGTTATGGCGAGCGGGGGCTACTCTTCGTCACAATGCACGGGCTTCTCATTGCGGTGGCTTCACTTGTTGCAGAACACTGGCTCTAGGCGTGCAGGCTTCAGTAGTTGCAGCACGTGGGCTCAGTAGTTGTGGCTCGAGGGCTCTAGAGCGCAGGCTCAGTAGTTGTAGCGCATGAGCTGAGTTGCTCCACGGCATGTGGGATCTTCCCGGACCAGGGATCAAACCCGTGTCCCCTGCATTGGCAGGTGGATTCTCAACCACTGTGCCACCAGGGAAGTCCCTGGGCCACTTTTGATTTCTCTAAAATTGTCTCATCTCCGCTAAGCAGAAGGGGTAATATACTGACGTGCATATAGAGACCAGAATATGTAAGTGATAACTGCTCCACCCCCGTCATTTCTCTGGGAATCTCATTGCAGAGAAGGTGGGGCTATAAGCTTAGCGTCCCTTTTAGATATCAATAGAATACAACTTTGAGCATCAGTCAGCTCATGAGTTTGTGATGTGCCTCATCCATCCATCTTTTCTATCCTCCAGGGAATACAGAAGCAGATTTACAAATGAAGAAACAGTGTCATTCTGCTTGAGGGTAATGGTAGGCGTCATAATACTCTATGACCACGTACATCCAGTGGGAGCATTTGCCAAAACTTCAAAAATTGATGTAAGTTATATTTGTTTTATATAATTACCAATAATTTCCGTAAGTGGAAACCATAGGTTTTTATTTAAAGAGCTGGCAAGCTGCACTCTGTCACAGAATTTATTTTTATAGTTTGTGATAATAGTGGATTTTGGTTTCCTCTCTGTTGTGGTATTTCTTATAGCCTACATAGAGATGGAATAGAATGAATGAAGGATAACTGTACTGTCTTTTAAAGTATCTCCTCAGTACTGATAAGTGATACTTCTGCATATTTGGCAATATATGTAAATAAATAATCAGACAAATTTTTTTTTATTGTATCCTTTCATTCCTTCGGCCAAAGCCCATTTTAAATGATTTACTTACAAATGTATATTAAAAGCCAGTCGAGGTGCCTCAGTGCAAAAAGTTGAGGACTGCATCTTTCCCTCCTCCTCCCGGTCATAGTGCTTTGTGGCTGTAGCCTGGGCTTCTCTGCTTCGTAAGTCCTCTCCTCGCTCTCACACCTGGTTCATAAAAGTTATAGCCTGTAGTTTACTGAGAGTTGTCTTCCAGTTACCCTTTGACAGCTGGCTTCAGGCTCTTTGCATTTCACATGTAGACTACTGATGACTAGGCAGTCTTCTTGCCTTCGCTCATATCTATTCTATGTAAAGAGAACTAAGTCAACATTTATTGAGTGATTACTGTGTCCCAGGAATTTTAACATTTGTTCTCTCATTTAACTCTGAAAATACTCTTAGGATATAGGTGCTATTTTCCCTGTACTAGCAGAGAAGTAAAGTTTAGAGAGGTTTGTAATATAATTGCTAGTGAATGGTACATGGATTCCGAACCCACATCTCCATGGCTTCCAAAGCCTATGGTATTTCTACTGTGTTATGCTTTTTCACGATAATCAGGCTCATCTTCCTTACAGATCATTTTCATTGAGTTGTTCCCTTTCAAAATAGCCTGTAATGAGTTCCTGCCATCCCTGTCAGTTCCAAATGAGTCCTTCTGCCTTTCGAGGCCCTCTGTAAACTCCCCTGTGTGAGTCATCTCGGCCCTGTAAAATATTGTCCTCTGCATGTGATGAACTTTATTACTTTTGTCATGGGGTTCGTCTACCTGGAAGGTGTCTTTTTTCCGTACAAGTGTGTCCATTCTGTCCTTTAAAAGGCTACTCAACACCTTTTCCAGGAAGTCCTCCCTTTAGTAAACCCTTAGTTTTCCCATTAGTGTGGGTGGTGCTTCAGTTTGTCTGATTTGATTCCCAAAAAGTTTTGTTTGATTGACAAACTGAAAATAACACTTAGGTAGATTTTTTTCCCCTATTCTAAGAATAATTATTTTGACATTTCTAGTGTGTAATTTCTCATGAGTGCGTAGTTATGGAGCTGGTTTAAGTATTAACTATTTTGAGAATGAATGTTAGATGAAAAATCGATGTTTTACCTTTTCCGTTTCCTTTTCTACTTAGATGAAAGGTTGTATCAAAGTTCTTAAGGACCAGCCTCCTAATAGTGTAGAAGGTCTTCTCAATGCTCTCAGGTGTGTATACATGTAAAGGTATATATGTATAGAACAAATGTATTAAGAAAATGCTTCAAAATATGACTAACACATGAATATAAATGTTGGAAATGTGAAGAGCTCATTTTGCTTATTGGTAATCTTGCTTTCAGATATTGGTAACAATATTTTTATAATAAGTGTGTGTGTATGTGTGTGTGTGTGTGTGTAAATGAAAATAGCTTCATTTCTTTGCTAAAGAGTTTGGCTTTCACTTTTTGCCCCCCTTGAAGCGAGGATTGCTTATTTTTTGTTTTTTAATGAAAATAATTGTAAATAAAATTCAGAAAACAGGAAAATTTAAAGAAAAAGAAGGAAATAATGAAACCTCACTATTTTGAAATAAACCACTGTTAACATTTTGGTATATATCCTTCCAGAGTTTTTCTTTTTTAAACACTTGTATATAGTCATAGCTCTATATAATAGTTATCTTTTTACAAAATAATACCATACAATCTGTTTAATGACTCTTTTCCCTTAATATAGTATAATTACATTGCTATGTTCATAATACAGATCTCTATTATTTTTGTGCATTTCTTGTAATATTTCTTACAATGAAAATAAAGTAGTCATTATTTGATGTCTTCTCAGCTTAGACTTACTTGATTTAGTTACTGAAGCTCCTAAGAATCCTGTAATATTTTTAGATGAAAATGTCAGCACATTATAATATCTTGACTACAGATATTTAATTGGTAGTATAACTTCCTTAACATAAAAAGATGATTTGCTTGTTACTTGATTATTTTGTGTTTGAACACAAAAATTATACGAATGCAGAAATACTCCTTTAGTGACTTTTTGAGGTCATAGGCCGTCTTTGCTTTTCACTGCAGTGCATTGTAGTTCACATAATAGAATAAAATGATTTCCAGCTTAGTATTTTATTCCCCACATGTTCTGTGAGCAAAACAGATTGTTATTCCTTTTGGATACTTCGTCACCTGGTAAGTCATAAAGCAAAATCTAGGATGTGTATTTCAGCTGAGTGGAACCATGAAATTATTTTATTAAGATGATGAAGAGTATTCTACAAGCAGTGACTGCTGAATAAAGGAGCTGTATTCTAAACGAACACCAAACGCTTAAGGAACGTAATATAACAACAACAAAATTCTTACAATGTCAAATTATTTCAACCGTAAGCCTATCAAAAACCTTAAGTTTTTACTCTGGAGATTTCTCATTGGTTTTACCAATATTTATGGTTGTGTGAATCTTTCCTACTTGGTCCCTTTCTGAGGACTCCCTGGGTCCCAGTCAGCCTGATTTTTCTCCCAGGCCCTTTCTTTCGGATTGGTTAGACTCTTCCAAAGCCAGCAAGTGACAGGACATTTTTTTAAAGTGAGAGGTAATAGAGGTCTAAGAGGCTTTAGTATTACATATTTCTTTACCCTGAAGGGACTGTGCTTCAAACATTAATTTAAAAACTCAGAGTTTACCTTTATTTTTCAAAGTGTAAAAGTAGTTAGGTGTAAGGCAAAGGAGGGCGGTCGCGGTGAGTGAAAGGGTGCTGAAGTCTCCCACACAGCGATCTGTGTCTGAGGGAAAGAGGAGGAGAAGCACCACTGAGGCGAGAGCCACCTGTCAGTTTTCAGTTTTCTTTCCAAACCTATAATGGAAATCAGAAAAGAAAAGGTTGTTGCAGAGAGAACTCTTGAACTGTTATTATTCATAGTGAAACACATATTCTGTGTCTGGTTCTTAATTTTCACCTGGGAGGTTTTGTAAAGTTTATCAGTATACTTGTTGCTATGTAGTAGTGGTTATAATTAGTATCATTTTTATGTCACTGTACATTTACAATGCAATTTCATGTCTGTGGCTTTATTGAATCTTTACCACAGCTTAGTGAGGTAGGTGGTGGGCATGGGGTGTTGGGGGTATCTCCATCATGCAGTAGTTACCTTAAGCTCTTGAGAGGCTTAAAGATTATATAGCTAATAATAAGCATTGGAATCTATTTACAAATGCAGGATTTTATTCTTGAAATCCCATATACTTGATGCTACATCATTGAGCCTTAGGTGTACCATGAGACTGAACTTCAGTGTACTTTGGAATTATCTGGATGGAAAGGGACGTGCAGATTCCCAGGTTACCACCTCCACAGAGTCTCTTCATTACGTCTGGGGTGGGGCTCAGGCACGTCATTTGATAAACACCCTGTCTGTTGTAGATAATGCTGAAACTTTGAGAAACACTGCTCAGACTAAACCAACCTAACGCTTAATCTGCTTCACTCAGAGCAAAGAAGGTGCTGTTAAGAAAGCATTTTGGAATTCCCAAAGTGCTGTGCGAGTGCTGTTAGTTCTGCCTCTACAAAATGGAACACTTTTGTGCTGCATTATTTTCTTTTAGTGAATAGCTTATTTATTAGAGATGCTCACTCCATCATTTTCCTCAGAGCCAAGTTTCAAATAGGAGTGTAGTTGCATATATATACACGTTGCCTATTTTGGGTGCTTTTCTGTGGTAATGATACAGTTCGCACCAGCTTATACTATGTGCTTAAGAGAAAGCAATGAGCCATGTCTGCATTTTACAGGTGGGGAAATGGAACCAAGTGCCTTTGATTAAAAAAGAGACAGAAAATGAAAGCTAGAGCTGGGAGTTAGGTTCAGTGCTAGATAATTGCCTTCTTCATTAAGTTTAAAAAGAAACGTAAATAATAGTTGCTTTTCTTCAGTAGAAAAGTCATATGCACTTGGAAAAGGACTTTGTGTTTATGCATAAAGTAAAATAATACCATACATGTTCATACGTTATTTTCACGTATGTTAGATGCCATTGGCCTTTTCTTGATAAGAGTGTGATGGTGATGCGACATGCCTCTGGACTGGCTCTGTCCAGGAGGCTCTGATCACATCCCTCGGGGGGAGCGAGAGCTCATATCTGGGTAGAGAGGAAGGCGCTCAGCACTCCTGCACGGGCACAGTCCACTGCTGAGTTGTCATGCTTTACTCTGCACTTGACATTTTGTCGTGCCTGTTACTTGGCTCTTTCCACTGTGCAGCTGTGTAAAGGAGATGGAAACAACAGAAATGAAGGAATGGATGTTGAAAATTCTTATTTTCTGACATCAGTAGGATGATGTATAGCGATATATGTGTTATCTGCACTTGGGAAATAAAACAGAAAGGTTAAGTCTTTGCTACATCACCTACCACTTAGTGTAAAAATTCTCCCTTACGGAGTTTTATTTCAGGCTAGCTGCTTAGCTTCTTGTCTTCCTTCCACAAATATTAATTGAGTACCTGTTATGTGCCAGGCTGGTGTCTTGTTCTGTAATACGAGAACAGTATGGAGGTGACCTCTGAGTAAAATTGTAGAGTATATCACAGACTTACTGAAGCACATATTTGTCTCTTTACCTCTCTAAGGATTTACTTGAGTTGAGGTACTTTCTTCAGTTTTTAAACTGATATGAAATGAACCTGACGAGAATTGAGTTTAAATTTCTTTAACACAGAGAGACCATCCGTGTGTATCTCCTTAAAGAGATACATTTCTTAAAGATATGTGAAATGCTTGTGAACCAGGTTGACTGATCCGGCATTAATGTTCTGTGTGAATTATGTCCAAAATGTGCCCCCCGTTCAGGCATCGCTCCTAATGCGGTGCAAGCCTGGGTCACTGGGCCTTCCCAGCCCCCCGGCTGGTCCCTGCTGTTCCTTCTCCCTGCGCTTCTCCCTCAGCAACCGGAGAGGAACCGCACATCACCCCCTTGCTCAGCATCCTCCACTGGCTTTTATTAACCTCAGAATAATCTCGAAACTCTTCGCTGTGGCCTGTAGTGTCTGCGTGACCTGGTCTTTCTTTGTCTCTAAGGCCCCACCAGTACTTTCCTCCTTTGCTGCTAATACCCCTTCTGTAGGGGTAGTGTATTATCATCTTTCTCCCTCTGCTAGGTGGTAAGCTCCTGGAACAGTGCCTGACACACAGCAGGCCTGCTTATTGAATTTCTGCCATTAAAAAGAATCCTATGGTGAATCTTCTCGTAAAATAATCATCACTCCTAGTGATTCTTTTTTAGGTTCTTAATTTGCATTTACATATTTAAAACAAAGCACATCTGCCTGGAAATAAGGCACTTAGAGAATTGAAACATTTTGGGATATGACAGAACTGAAATAGTTGAACTGTCTTAAATACAGAATGGAACAGGGGTTGGCAAACTTTTTTTTGTAAAGGACCAAAGAATAAGCAAGTATTTTAGGCTTTTTAGACCATGTGTTGTCTGTCAGAGCTATTCAGCTCTGCCGCTGTAGCAAGAAGGTAACCATAGACAGTACTTAAGTGAATCAGCATGGCTCTGTTAGAGTAAAATGTTATAAACACTGAAATTTGAAATTCATGTAATTTCTACGTGAACACGAAATACTATTTTTTGACTTTTTCTCCCAGCCATTTAAAAATGTAAAAATATGCTTAGCTCACAGGCCCTACAAAAATAGGTGGTGGGTTGGATCTGATCCACGGGCTCTAATTTGCCAACCCCTGATATAGGACAGCAATTATTTTCCTCTGAGTGAGAAGTTACTTTAGAATTTAACCAGGTAGTTCTAAATAAGTTAAACAGCCATTGGATCTTCTGTTTAAAAGGTGAGAGGAGCATAAGCTAGCAGGACCTGAATAGGGTTAAAGCTGGAATGAAAAGGCATGATTTTGTGAGAGAAGATTGCCTGGCCAGTTGCCTCTCGTACCGTAATTGTAGACCCTGACGCGGGTTCTGTCTGTTTGCTCACTCCCTGAATTGACGCTTTCCCTTTTAGGTACACAACGAAACATTTGAATGATGAGACTACCTCCAAGCAGATTAAATCCATGCTGCAGTGACAGCTCTGGAGTAGCACCTGCTGTAGACAGAAGACAGTATTCTGCAGTGACTGAGAATGCACAGTTTTTAGTGATTGCAATTACTATCTCATTTACTCTTGCTTTTTATTTCTTTCCTCTGTTCCTCTCCCTCTTTTTTAATCATATTCTTGTTCTTAAGACTTCTTTTCTGTGCCAAAATCAGTAAAGTTATACTCTGAAGGGATGTTGTCCTTTCAAACAGGCCATCTAAGGCAGCTAATTATGCATTGCATTGGGGTCTCTACTGAGAAAAATTCTGTGACTTGAACTAAATATTTTTAAATGTGGATTTTTTTTGAAAACTAATATTTAATATTGCTTCTCCTGCATGGCAAAACTGCCTATTCTGCTATTTAAAAACCCTCAATGACTTTATTTTCTACTGCCGCTTTTTTCATGTGCAGCCAAAATGAAAATGTTTAAATTAACTGTGTTGTACAAATGGTACCCAACACAAACTTTTTTTAAATTAGTAAGACTTTTGTTTAAAGTTTTAAGTTTGCATTTTGACTTTTTTTGTAAGGATGTATGTTGTGTGTTTAACCTTTATTAACTAATGTTAAAAACTGTGATGTGTGCGTAGAATATTACGTATGCATGTTCATGTTTAAAGAATGGCTGTTGATAAAATAAAAATCAGCTTTCATTTTTCTAAGTGTGGCTTGGTTTACTGGTGTTTTGTTTTTAGGCTTCTAGAGATTTCCCCATGTATATTTTTATGGAATGTATATACACATTACATATTTTTTCCTGCTTTTAGGGCAGGGCTGGGTTTTTCTTTTTTATCATTTTAATTGCTTTTAAAATCTTGCTAAGTGCAGTAAGACTAGTGATCTTGCCATACTTGACTTTTCTCCTTGACTTACTCTTGTATGGACGTAGTAACAAGGAAGTAAGACTAGTGATCTTGCCATACTTGACTTTTCTCCTTGACTTACTACTCTTGTATGGACGTAGTAACAAGGAAAACTACACTCCTGCTTGATGGGCATTTTCCAGCAGCGAGAAGGTAGCCACTGGAAACAGAGTGTGGAGGAAGAACAGTCCTTATTACTGGGAGGAGCGTGAGTATACGAGGGACTTCCTAGGAGAAACTGAAGGCCACAGTATCACTAGTGGTAGGAAACTCGCATGCTTATTACTTTAAGATCATAAAACCGTAATCATGAAGTCTAAGTGCCCTGATTGGGAGAAGCTGCTTAAAGGTTGTCTAGTCTACCCATGCTAGTTTAACAGTTAACTACGGGAGAAAATCCCAGAGGATTCCCTCAAAACCTGGCTTAGTAGCGTCAGGTCACCATGCCCACAGCCCTTCATGATGGAATCCCTGTTGACCTCTCTGTGGTCTCATTCTCTCGCACCCACACCGTGCTCCCAGCCAGGCTCAACTGTGTGCTGCTCAGATTGTTCCACGCAGTGTCACACCTCCGTAACTCGGGTCCGGCTGGTCCCTGAGCCTGTCATTCACTTCCTCCCGTGTGTCCGTCTGATGAAGAGCCGCTCTCATTTTTCAAGGACCAGCTTGTGTCACTTGGACGAAGCCTTTGGGATATACATGAGCCACCTCCTTCTAGGCACCTTCTAATAAGAGGGTTGTAATGGGCTAAATAGTGCCCTGTCTCCCAAAGATACGTGCACCTGGAACCTGGAGATGCCACCTCATTGGGAAAAGGGTATTTGCAGCTGAAATTAAGTCAAGGATCTGGAGATAAGGCCGTCCTGGATTACATGGGGCCCTAAACTCAATATAAGAGAAAAGAAGAGGAAACGGACACAGAGCAGAAGGCCGTGTGAAGATGGAGGCGGGACTGGAGCAGTGTGTCTGCTAGCCGAGGAACCCAGAGTCGCCGGCAGCACCAGAAGCTGGAGGAGAGGCCTGGACCGTTCTCCCTGAGAGCCTCCGGAGGGAACCACCCCTGCTCACACCCTGGTTTCAGACTTAACGGCTTCCGGGACTCAGGATAAGCTTGTTTTATGCCACCCAGTTGGGGGTAACTTGTTATGGCAGCCCTAAGACTCTAATACAAACTATCTCATGCAACACTGCTGATATTTCGCTGGACCTCTTTCCTGATACTGTGAGAACTTGAGAAAAGAGCCATGTCTGAGGTCCCTTCAGTGTCCCAAGGATCTTGCCCTCTGCCCGAATCTAAGTAGGTGCCAAGTGTGCGTGCTTGAACGGAGTGAATGAACGTAAATTAAAAATAAGGTTGCAGCTGAAATAGATAAAGTAATACAGCTGCGGCCTTCGCAGTTAACGTAGTTTGAGATCTGCACGTTGGAGAGTAAGTGGAAAGATCTCTCAACCTCTGACCAGGGCTCAGCAAACTCGTCTGTGAGCCAATCCTCCCGCCACCTGTTTCTCTACAGCCTATGAACTAAGAATAGTTTTTACATTTTTAAAAGGTTGGCAAAAGTCAAAATAATATTTTGTGGCATGTGTAAAATATATGAAATTTAAATTCGATTGCCCGTAAATAAAATTTTATCGGAACACAGCCTCACTCATTTGTTTACATGTTATTTTTGGCTACTTTTGCACTACAACAGCAGAATGGAATTCTTGTGACAGAGGCCATATGGCCCTCAGAGGCTAAAATATTTACTGTCTGGCCCTTTACAGAAAGTTTACCGATCTCTCATCTAGTTACAAGAGCAGGTTTCTTTGAGAACCTAGTGTGTCGGAAGCACCATGCTGCAGAGTGATACAAGGAGCCATCTCTGCTGCCAGGAAGTGGTGGGTTTAATTGGGTCTAATATTTGCCGTTCAGATAGCCAGAGAGAACAAAAAGGCATCTTCTCACCTGCCGAGTCTGATCCCTATTCATGTCTATCCTCAGAATGAAGGATTATGGGGCCGGCCATGGGCTCATCAGGAAAGAGGACCAGGATTAATTAGCAGGATCTGCCCTGTGTACTGGAGGGAGGTGTGACTCCGTTCTGTGCAGGTAAATTTTCTGTCACCCTAAGGCAGCCTCCTTTTACCCCCTCTTACCTCTAAAACAGCCCGGTCGATATCTCTCTACTCACCCTTGGCCCCAGTCCCCGTGTCTCTTCCTTCACAGTGTAAAAGTGTCCGTTGCATCATGTCTTCCACCAACGATACCCATGATGACCTGTTATCTGCCCTGTTTCTGCAGCCCTCCAGCTAGACGAGTAGAACTCTTCAGTTGGCTGTTTTCTCACTTTAGAGATTTGGATTAAGAAGCCCTCTGGACTATTTTAAGACTGCTCCAAGTATTTTAGACTTGTCATAAGGGGAATTAGCATTTGTGCTCAAAACCAGGTCTTTTGAGTTGAAATGCCATACTGGTTCCATTTGAGATTGCAGGAACTGCCAGTCCATATATTCTTACAATCCCTTACAGAGCATATTTCACAATCTTTACGTGGTGCAGTTTGTTCCATATACTGTTCCGTGCTTTGCTTTATTCACTTAATGAGGATCGTAGATTGTCCCATGGGTTTACCTAGACAGCATCCTCATTCTCTGTGAAGGCTGTGTGGTACTCCATTATATGCCTGTACCATAATTCGCTAAACCAGTCCCTATCTGAGGGACTCAGTTTATTTCCAAACTACTGTCACTGTAAACAGTGATGTGAGGACAGACCTTGTACATACGTCGTGCATGTACACAAATATCACGTCTCCTTCACTCCGCATCAAGTAACCCCGGCCACGCTAATCTTGCTGTTCTTCAAATGCAGTGAGGGCGCTGCACTGTCGAGGCCCTTGGCAGTGGCTGGCCCCCCTGTGGGGTGGCAGATGGGTCATACCCTGCGTCTCTGATCAGGTGTCATCCTCCCAGTGAGGCCTGCCTTCCCCACCTCCTGTTTATAACGGCATCTGTTGGTCTGGTGGGGGAGTGGTCCTCCAGGGAGCATTGGGCAGCGAGAGGCTGGGAGGAGGGGCAGGGGCGTGGAGGGTGGACCGCAGGACAGTCCGTGTAGAGGAGAGTCTCCCCTGTACGGGTTCTGCTCCCTTTCTGCCCCTCACTCGCTGGCTTTAAGACTTCCCTGGGCCCCATTCTCCCCATCTGTAAAAGTCAGTCTCCGTGGTCCCACCTCTGACCTGGAATAGCTGCTAAGACAACAGTGGCTTCCAGCCTGTGCCCCAGGTGCTTGGGGGAGGTCCTGAGAAGGGAGAGCTGCTCCGGGCGGTCAGAGGCAGAGGAGGCGCCTATGCACAGAGAGGAGGCTTCCTCAGACGCCCACAGCCGCAGGGCAGCTCACCTATCCCAGCTCTGCTGCTGGCCCCAAGCTAACAGCTCCTGGAGCCCCTGACTTAGCTGCTGAGGCATTTCAGACAAGGATCATCCTGTGAGCGCCGATGAGTGCGCTCTCTAGGGGTCCTATAAAGGGAGGAAACCACTGTACGTAAGCATGCTATTCAAGGGGCACAAACATAGGGAGACACTGTTACCCCCGTTTAATAGATGAGGAAACATTCAGAGAGGTTAAGAAACTTGCCTAAGGTCACACAGCTACCGCTAGACCACTGCTCAGTCTAAATCTACTGGTTTCAGGGCCCTTGCTCTATGTTACGTTCTTTTTCTCCATCTTTGATGCTGCTGCTGCTGCTAGAACTCTCTTTCTAGAACTAGTTTGATTTAATTAGATTGTTGGTTCAAATTGTGACTACCTCTAATTTCAGGCAGAAGCTAGTTTTCAAGAAAGTTGAACTTAAACATGTATGTGTTATGGAACATTTATTATTATGTTCACCAGACCACAAGAGAGAAGCCTTTCACTGCCACTGGATGTCCATTCCCACCCCTACAAAAGGAGAGATTCTGGAGAGAAGATGGGCCAGTTTGTGTAATGAAGTTCAGAGAGGGGAGGGTGTGTGAGGAGCAAGAGGGGGATGGGAGGGGTTGAGGAGAAGTCGGCGGGCGGAGGGGCGGTCAGAGGGGCTGGGGCAGCGCAGGAGGTGAGGGGCTGCGAGGGGAGAGGGGATTTTCATGCAGACCATGTATATGGACTCATTTAATGCCCTTTAAGACATGTGAGTTGAACATTGATCCCTTTTAAATTACTTGTGGCTCATTAACTTATTAAAACATGGGCCTCTCTGAGCCCGTAAGAGCAACATGCAGAAAGAAAGACTTGATTAATGTGACGGGCTGGACAACTGGCAATGAAGAGTGGAAAGCATCTATGTTCTTTCTCTCCCCACAAGGGGGAGCCCGTGTCCACACTCTCCAGACGGAGCTGACGATGCTTAAATTTGGTGAAAGTGTGACGTTGGTGCATTATTTCCAGAATAGAGCTTTCCAGGGGTTGGTGTAAGGTCTGCAAAGATTCCCTTGCCCAAAACCTCACTTCTCAGGCTACAGAGAATGTTTGATGGCATACACACAATATATTACATTTTTAAAAAGCAAGTTTATGACATTATACATACGTTACCATATTTTTCTGCAAGATAATTTATATGAATGCATGGAAAAAAATACTGAAAGGATAAACACCAGAATGTCAATACTGGCTATTTCCGGAGAATGGGATTAAGGAAATTAAAATGTTTTTCATACCTTTCTGAAACTTTATTATTTCTTTTACAATGACCATTGTTTTGATTGTTAGACAAGTTTTATCAGGAGAAGAGAGTATATGAAGTGATCCTGCTGAGAGTGGGCAAAACCACGTGATCTGTCTGCCTCTGAGCGCTGTCTTACTGAGGTCTGTTTCTGTCTGGGTGTGCTCTGCTAGGAAGAGCACGGAGCTGAGAGTCGGGAGAGCTGCTTCTGGCCTGTGGTGTGTGCTCAGGCTCTTCCCCTGCTCCCTGTGCACGCCCTTACACACGCGTGTGCGTGCCCATACCCCCCACTGCTCACACAAAGATGCACAGCCCTTGGCCTGCACCCCAGTCTGTAGTGGAATCCCTGAACGGTGCAGCTGGGTGACAACTGTGCAGTTTGATCCGTCACTCTCATTTTACAAATGGGAAAACTGAGGCTGAAGGAGAGCTGCAGGGAGCTGAAATTAAGGGGAGATTGTCCAGGTCCTTTGTTAACCTGGAGAAAGGTCTGGCAGCTTCGTCCAGAACAGTGATACGATCATTAATAATAACACCATCGCGCAATAACAGCTGACAGCCAGGCGCTGTTCTGAGCACTTTGTGTACAACTTTTAAAATCTTCGCTACAATCCCGTGAGCTAGGAATTCTTATCACCCCACTTTACGGGGGTAATTTTACAGGAGGAGGAAGCACAGAGAAGGCCGGACGCGCCCAGAGCTACGCAGCTGTCGGTGGTGGAGCCGTGAATGGAGGCCAGGCTGTTCTGGAACCAGCCTCTGCTGACTCCCCAGGAAGAATCCTGCTCCAGGGTAGGACCCTAGCCTAACTGGTGCCCCCCACCCCAGATGTGGACAGGCAACTAAAGTCTGGGGGCCATCCTGTGAAGGGGAGAAGAGGGTGTGTGAGCCAGTCCCGGGGAGCCCCACAGTCACCTGTGGCAGAAGCCCCACAAGGTATCTCTGGGGCCATCTTTCCCCAGAAGATTCCAGAAGGTGGGAACTGTGCCGGCCTTGGAAGTGCTGCGTGGTCTTCAGTAAGACTACTCCCGTCCCCCTCAGTCTTCCTAAAACACAATCCACTAAGGGTGGATGGTGGTCTTCACTTACAGAAGGCGTTCGTGTGTGTTAGCTCGTCTTCCGGCCCGGTGGCTTTGCAAGGTGGTTATTAAGCAGGACACGGTGAGGCCTGCCCAGGGCTGCCCATGGCTGAACCAGGACGAGGACCCGGCCAGCCTGATCCCCAGCGTGAGGCTCCAGCCACGAACAGCATCTTTCTCCAGGCTCTCTCTTCTTCCCGACCCCAGCCCACGGGAGTCCTCTTACCTACTAGTGCTCCAAGAATGCAGAGGATGGCCCTGCCTTTCGAGGGTGACAGGCTGCCTGAGGGGTCCTGGAGGATGCTTAGGATGAGGTCCGCAGGGCCACCCAGCCGTCCCAGCACCCCAGTGTCCAGGGCCTGTTCCAGCTGCAGGAGAGCGGCGAGGAAGAGCAGGGAGAGGCAGCTGTGGGTCCCCTCCATCCACGTTACTCTACCACCCAAGCTCCCGTCCCCATGCTCTGGGTCCCCAGCCCTTCGTGATGCCGGTGAAGCTGGGACGAGCCTGGGTTCATTGCCAACAATGCGGAACCAAGGTCCCTCCTTGGGCTTCAGGGAACAAACGCTCAGGGAGATTCTGATACGACAGCTGGTACGGGGCAGCACCCAGTCACCCCAGGGCCTTCTGAGGTTGTGTGCTACCAAGACCCATAGCATGTCCCGTGCCTGCCTCTCATCCCCCTAGCCCATCCCTCTCTCTCCTAGATGCCAGCCCCCAGCCCGGGTCTGGCCGTTGAGCCCCTTACTGTGTCCTCGAGCTCCTGCGGTGCCCAAGGGTCCTGGAGCAGCTCTTGGAGGGCGCCCAGCAGTGGGTCCCGCAGCTCTGGGGGCAGCGTGGCCAGGTCCTGCAACTGGGCCCTAGCCTGCCTCTGCAGGCCCCGGAAGTCAGGCTCCGCACCTGGGGCCCGGCCAAAGGCCATGCCTGTGGGGAGAGGCATCGGCACCTGCTGGAGCCTTTCCCTGGGCTCCCTGCCCTGCGCCAGTCAGGCCCTGGTGTCCTGAACCTGACCAGGAGGTCCTGGGGTCACAGACCTGGCCCAGGGAAGCTCGTGTATCAGGCAGAGCACATCTTTATGGGCTCACCTCTCCCTTCCTCCCTCCTTCCCTCCCCACCCCCCTTCCTTCTGAGCATTTTCTGAGCACCTACTACATAGCAGGTGCCCCCCACAGGGCTTATCCTTGCCTCTCCCCTTCTCACCCACCCTGCCCAGGGCTGATGCTTCAGCTCGAAGAAAGACCACTTCTCTGCCCAAGCGCCTGCTGTGTGTCTGCTCCTGAGACCGCCCCCCCCCCCAGGCTGAGCCCCACCTCCGGCCAGCTGCCCCACTGGGATGGCTAAGACAGGGCTTCTCAGGCTCTAAGCACCACGGCACAGGTGGGTGGGTCTGGCAGGGTGGTCAGGCGCCCCCGCCTTCCCACTCCTGTCTTGTTAACCGTACAAACTGCCTCTTGAGAGCCCACCTTCCAGGTACCGAACGCTGTCCAGACACCATCACTGATCCCCCACCTGGTAAGAAAAGTCCCAGCCTCCCCGCTGTGCGGGTGCGGAGACCAAGACTGGAGCTGGAGCCTGGAGCCAGCCTGCGCCTCCTACACTCAGCATCCTTCTCCCCACAGCCTGGTCCTGGTCTTTCCAGCTCATCTTCCCACTGGGGAGAGAGCACACGGCCCTCCCTGCCCGAGTGACACGGGGTGACCGCATGCGGAGGGAAGGGACCCCAGCGATGGGGTCAGGGCATTCTTCGGGGAAGGAGTGATTTCTGGCTGGCTTCTCGGGCTCTGGCAGGGGTCACTCACCTCCTCTCTGTCTCTCCAGAGCTCTCCTTCAGGCAGGTACAGCACAGCTGCGTGGGAGCACAAGGCAGGGAGAAGAGAAGAGTCCCCGGGCCACGGATGAGCAGGACCAACCCTGGTCCACGTGATTCTCTGCTAATTAGATAACACGCCCCTTCCTCCAGTCACATCCCCCCATCCCCGGCCCCCCCGGGACAAGCAGGGCACAGGCTGGGTTGTCAGCCCTTCCTGAGAGCTGGCCTCGGCAGCTCCTGTGAAAGGCACATCCTTTCAGCATCTGCCTGGCTGGCTGCTTGCTCAGGCCAACAGGGAAATGGCCTCCCTCCCCCTCTTCGCGCCCCGCACTTGGGCGCAGCCCCTGCCCCCCTCCCAACCCTCCCAGAGGGAGAGTCGCGTCCAGCTGTTTCTGCTGCTCCAGGCTCCACGTACCCCAGCGATCGTCCTCCATCACCAGCTGCAGCTCCCAGTAGGCCAAGACTGTGCTCCGTGGGATGGCCACTGTCTTCTCTTTGGCCATGGCGCTCTGACCCTGGAGCTGGGAGACAGGCAGGGAGAACAGGACGTCTTGTCCACACAGGATGCTAGGGCCTGCAGGAAGGGGTCTCGGGGGCAGACAGGAGCAGGGGATGGGGTGACACGGGGGGAGGGACTGCGAGGGTCCCTCTTGGTGACCAGGGCCTTCTGAGGTTGGCGGGGAGAGGGAGATGCAAAGGCAGGGGACACTCAGGCACAGCACAAACAGCATTCTGCCAAATACGTTGCACATGAGGTATTTCCAAAAAACCCAAGGCACTCTGGGGTCAAAGCAGTACACACTGGCACGGTAAAAGCTCTACACGGTCCCACCATAAAGAAGTGAGTTTTATTTTGCCTCAATAAACATTGTCCAGAGTTTGGAGTGTTCGCTTTGGGAAAGGCTGAGCTGGAATCCTGGGGCCCTGCAGCTGGACAGCCGCCAAGCGATCTCGAAGTCGTCCTCCCTCGTTGGGCAGGTGGAAACCGAGGCACAGAGGGGCGGCTGTTGGGGGGTGCTGGGAAGCCGGGGCTCCTGATGTGGGCCAGTGGTGGCCCTGTTATCGCCCTGTTCCCACAGGAAAAGGGCTATCGACTGGCACTCACCTGCACGCCCGGGGATGGCGAGAGCTGGGGCCCAGAGCTGATGCTGAGAGAGCAACTCGATGTGTGGGAGACGAGAGCCCCGGAGCCCTAGCATGCTGGCATGGGGCCCAGCCTCCCCCCCGTCACAGTGGGGACTGGCAGTCCATGGACGCTGAATGACCAAGGAACAGAGCCGCCGAGGAGCAGGCCCGGGTCTTGAAGACAGGTGGAAGGAACACTGACTGTCCTTGCCCTCAGCACGTTCGGCACTTTTCTCACATCGCTGCTTAATCCTCACCCCGATTCTGCAGCCCAGCTTCATGGACCAGAGAAGTCAAACTCAGAGGGTCAAGTGACTTGTCCAAGGCCACCCAGCCAGCCAGGGGTGGAGCTGGGATTCGCAGCCAGTCACGCCCAGTTCCAAAGCGGATGCAAACCCCCCTGCACTGTGATACTACTCCCCGGCAGCAGGTAAGACTCACCTGGGAGAGTTAAAAGAAGACCAGCAACTGGGTCCTAGTCCGGACCAGTTAAAACAGATTGCGTGTGTGTGTGCGTGTGTGTGTCTGGGTGCTGGTATTTAAAAAATAATAGTCAAAAAACAACACGACGCCTCTCCAGGGGATTCTAAAACGCAGCGTTGAGAACCACGACTCAAGTGCCCAGGAACTCCACTCCTGGTTTAGATGGGGCGACCTCCAGGGTGCAGCTCTTTGGCAGGAGTTAGGGTGGAGGGGTGGGCCCCTTGCTGGCTTTCAGCACCCCCGGGACACCCCCTGCACCTTGAAAGGGCTGGGCCGGAGGAGTGACAGCTGCCCCGCTCCGTCTCCTCGGCTGAGGCTCTGAAGCGTGACGTCCTGCGCAGCCTCCACGGCCTTGTCACCACAGACGGGCTCTCCCTCTCCTTCCGGCTCTGCAGCTCCCTGAGGAACGAGGGCCTCGGAGTCCTCAGTTTCCTGCCAGGGGTGCGGGGTGTGGGCAGGAGAAGAGGCAGAGCTGGTGGGGCTGCTCTCCAGGGCTCCCCCGCTCAGGGGCCTTTCGAAGCGGGCAGCTGGCCTGTCTTCCGGCCTAGAGTTCAGGGTCAGGTGGGCGTGGTCGCAAAGGGGAGAAACTGACGGAACTCTGAGACATCTGTCTTCTACAGGGTTTAAGATGTCCAGCCCAGAGGCTACCACCGGGCTTTCTGCCCGCTCAGTCAGGCAAAAGGCATACGTTACTTGGCTCACGTGGCATTTAGAAATTTTGAGATAATATTAAAACTGGTAGATTTCACCAAAAAAACCCATTTGTAGCTTCTCTCAAAAATCAGTGCCACTGCGCTCACATTGCTGCCTGGCAATAACCAGGTGCAGCTGAGACGCAGCTACCAGCTTCAGGCAGGCATGTGTCCCCGCTTTGCTGGAGTCCCCACCATGCCCTGTCGCCTCACACCTGGCAGCTACCGCATTTCTGTTTCCTCTTCTGGCCTTAAAAACATCGGGGTTGAAATCTCTGACGTAACATGAGTCCCTCTCACTGCCCACTCTCTCTTCCCTGGGCCCCTGGGCTCGTTGCCAATAGTGGACTCCCCCGTCCCAGCCCATGCCTCAGAATGCTTTACTCGAGGCCTCGAGCTGGCAGGAGGCTTGGGCTCTTCTCTCCTGCCCCCCACGCTCCCCTCCAGCCCGGGGGACCTGTGCCCACAGAGAGGAGAGCCCAGCCCGCCTGGCTGATGTGCCCCAACTCTCACCTCTACTCCACCAGCGTCTCCCAGGTGTTGGGGGGAACCCTGAGGGTCTGCACAGCCAGGGCAGAGCTGTGGCTCACCACGCCGCTCCCCGTCACGCTCCCCTGCAGCCCGGTGCCCATGCTCACGCCCCCCGTCACGGCTCCTGCCACCATCTCCCGGAGGTGGATGGGTTCGCTGCGGCTCACCTCTGCGGGGAGAGAGGTCCAGGCTGAAGCCAGGGAGGCAGGGTTGAGTGTGGCTAAGCCTCAGCCTCGGGCTCCAGTTTGGCCTCCACCACTTACTGGCTGGGTATGACCCTGGGCAAGAAGGCACCTAACTCCTGGAGCCTCAGTTTCCCCATCTACAAAAGGGAGGGAAGAATGACAGGGTCTTCCTCTAAGGGTGGTTGTCAGGATTAACTGAGGAATTGCCAACATGACACACAGCAAGCACTTCATCCTTGTTAGCCATTATGGTGATTGAAATTATGAAGATGACTATCACACAGCCGGGACAGGAGGAAGAAAACGGTTCATCCTTTGCCCACACGGAAGGCACGGGCTAGCCGGGGTGCCCGCGGTGTGGCTCCAGGCCAGGCAGGCCCGGGGGGCTCGGTGTGCCCAGGAGGAGGGTGTCAGCTTTCTCACCCACGTGGATCTTTTTTGGAGCTGCCCTGCAGTCCCCCTACTCTGCCGCCTGCCAGCCCCACCTGAAGGTACCTGGGATGGGGGAGCCGGGCTTCAGAGCATCCACGAGGGAGAAGTCTGTGGGGATGAGGGGGGCGTCCCAAGGCCACAGGTGGCGTCTGTGCTTCTTCCTCACCAGGCAGAAGGGGCGCAGGCGCAGGGCACTGGCCAGGCTGTCCACGGGCACCAGCTCGCCTTTCCTACCCAGCTCTCTGACCAAGCTCTTGGTGCCCCTCGAGAACAGGGATGACATGTTCCTTGAGGGCTAAGAAGAGCAGAGCGGGTGTCATCCAGGGCTGTGGATGCGGGGGCCTTGGTGAAGGCTGCCAGCCGGCTGAGCTTCTAACAGAGTGAGGAGTGGGGCGCCCTGTGAAGACTGCTCCCCATGCCCACAGCTGGGTGCTAAAGTCAGCCTGTAGGTGGAAATCACAGGTGGTCAACCCCCCCGGAAACATCCCTCCAGCCACCCCCCCCACCTGCCTGCGCGGGACCCCAAGAAACTCGAGGACCAGGGACTCCTCAGTTTTGGAACAGCTGTTCCCTTGGGAATGTTACTTACTCTGTGCCTTGGTTTCCTCATCTGTTAAGTGGAACTTGATGCATATTTACATAAAATATTTATAGATTATTATTATCTATAGTAATACCTCCTCTGTGGGATTGTGACCAGGACCGACGAGCTGTTTGTAACGAACCTAGAAAAGCGCTGGTACAGGTTAATAAGCTGTTACCCTCTGCAGCCTGGCCCCGCCTCCTTTTCCCGGGTAGCGGGGCCCAGGCACGGTCCAAAGACGGGGAGAAGAGATGCGGGTGGAACAGGAAGGGAACGGGGAGTCCTCTCTTCTCCCAGCCCACATCATTGGGTTTCTGGGTAGATGCATCTAGGACGATCCTCTAACTACCCC